CAATAAAAGAATAAATTCTTTTATAAACTACCTTCCATTTGTTTAACATCTGACACTTTTCAAATCAGCTCTTGGTTCCTTAATGATATCTTTAGATCTTTAACCTGCTATCACAACATAGATTTCCACTCTGGAAAAAATCCTCAATGCATACATTATGCTAGGTTACCAAGAATGTAAGTAAACGTTAAAAAGGAAATTATTACTTTGCCACATTTTAGAACTGAACACAAGCTTTATCTTAAAATCTAGGAAGGAGTGTTTTTAAGCCATGATACTTAAACAATTTTACAATTTCATCAAAAATAAGTACCGGTGGTTAAAACCAGTAGAAAAGCCTTTTTATGAATTGGCTATACATAACAAAAAAAATTCTAATTTATTGTGGCAAATTCCACTAGTTATCCAAATCTTTTCTAAAAGAAAACTATATGTAAGATCAGAAATTACCTTCTAAATGCCACTGTTTCTTAATTTAAATGGCTCCTAGGAAAAGCAAGCCATAATAGAATTAATTAACCTAAATTACTTAAACATTTAACTGTGACTCAAACATTTTCAATTGGTTTCTGATTTAAGTCATAAATTTTGTAGACAGGCAGAGTGAATTAAAGTCTTCACTTGAGGTGCCCTACTTGCCTACTTAAGACTATTCCCAGACCTCCGGGTGAGCAGAGAAGAAACATTACAAATTGCCATAGTATATCATGTTTGCTCCCAATCGTTTTTTTCGGAGGGGGATGGGGTGCAGTGGGAGGAGTATTATCAATGATGAGACTTATCTTCTAAAAATGCAAATGTAATATTCTCTTGTTTAAAATCTTTCAATAGCTTAAGCTTAGTATCTTAACCATGGTTTCTAACACCTTCTGTGACCCAACTGCTGCTCACTTCTTACCACATTTCCCTCCCTTCCAAGTTTCAAACATGATCAATGGTCTTCAGTTCCCTGAAGTGCTTTCTGAGTCTTTGGGAAGAAGAGGAGTCTTCACATATCCTCTCTTCCTCCCCCAACGGCAGGGCTTTCCACAAACTCCGAGGTTAGGCTGGTCTCCGTCACGACGTGCCCGGAGTTGTCCTCTCCTTTCTTAACACCCACCACACTACATATTTGATGTGCCTTCCCCACTAGACCAAAAGCTCCCTGAAGGCAGAGTCACTCAGTCACCACTCATTTCCTAGTCCCTAGCACTGCGCTGGCACATACTGGGTGCCAAATAAACTATCTGTCAGCGAAGTACATAGCTACACATATTTCCTTTAACAAACAAGCAGCAGACTTATGATAATGATCAAGTCGAAGAACATTACATTAGATGCTGTAGAGGCAGCTTATCATTAAGCAAGGTCTGAATACACAATATCTGGCATACACATCAATATAATTTCTCATTATAAAAGTAAAGCATGCTTTTAAAAGGTGACAACCCATCACTCATTCCCCTAATCCAACAAGTATACATTCAACTGTTAACACTGTTTCCCTTCTAGACCTTCCTCTATGGATAACACTTTCGAAAACTTCATTAAAATCACAAACCTTTTACGTTCATATATATTTACCCGTCTCATTCTTTTTTAATACCCACTAAAATTTGGAGAATGTTTATTCTATACCAAGCACTGCTGCAAGGGCTTTATGGGTTACTGTTAATCTTCATAATTCTTAGGTGTGATTATCTTCATTCCAGTTTACACAAGAGGAAAATGAGGCACAGAAAACTAAGTTGCTCAAGGTCAGTGTTTTATAGCCGTACTACAGACTAAATCAGTTACCATTTTTATGGCCCTCTATGTGTTTCTAATTTTTCCTATTATGTCATATGGTAAACGTCTTTGTGTGCTTAGATTACTTCTAAAGAATAGATTCATACGAGAATTTTCCTACAAATATATACTTCCACCAAAACTGTCTTGTCTTTTTATGAGCACTGGTAACGCCAAGCACTTTTTCAAAATTCTGTTACTATCTTCAAAATAAAAATTGTTTTACATTTCTACATAGTCAAATTTGATACTGGTGGTTTTGTGTAACACTTAGAAAATGTGTCCTTCCAATTTTTCTTTTAATTTTTCCAAAACCTTAATCGCAGTGGCAAGAATGGAAAGGCTGTACTTAACTGGTACTATGACTACCACTGAGTCACAGGGAGTGGAGAGGTGGGGATTACAGGAAACTGGGAAATGGCAGCTGCATGAAATTCAGGTGAGGCTTCAAGATCAACTGGTCTATCACGATCTGACAGGTTGGGGAAACCTTCCTGAGTTCTCTGTTTCTTGTGGTTCTTAACATCTTATCTACCCTGACCACGCTGAATGAAGGGCCTTAAGTCTGAAAACTCTGCTTCTAATACATCCACATTAATTTGTTTTACACTACTGGCTCTTTTGCTTATATACAACAAGTTCATAAGATTAAGAACTTATATCTGTTTGTAAAACAGAGATATAACTTACAAGAACTAAAACAATGATTTGTTTTCTGGATACAGATGGCTCAGATTTACATCTCTAACAAGCCCCTTCCTCCTATCCTTCTCATTGCGAAACAACTCCACGTGGGGGAAAAGGCAAAAGAGAACAGACTCTCTCACCACCTTATTTGGCCTTATCTGTGATCCATGTTTATCATTTTTTTTTTTTTAGGAACAGCTGAAAACTGTTTACTCTAACAATGTTCCAGCAACACTATGTAAAAATTGCTTAACCACACAATATTTTACTTAATTACATTATTTAACTGTACTTTATTCCCCCTGCCAGTTTTACTGATAAAAACCAACATATCATATTGTACAAGTTTAAAGTATACAAAATAATGATTTGATATATCTATATATTACAAAATGATTACAGCTGGTCCTCAAATAACATCGTTTCTTTCAATATCATTTCATTGTAACAATAAGAAACGAAAATCGAAAATCGATTCTGGCTGAGGATCTCTCTGTGGAGCTCTCATTCTCCCTATGTCTGCGTGGGCTTTCTCTAGGTACATCCCAAAGGTATGCACGTTAGGTGAACTGGCCTGTCTAAACTGCCCAGTCTGAATGGATATGGGGGTGTGTGTGGCGTGCCCTGTAACAGAAGGGCCTCCTGTCTAAGGCTGGTTCTCGTCTTGCACCTTCAGCTGCCAGGACAGGATTCAGCCACTCCGCAACCCAGAACTGGAATAAGAGGGTTGGAACGCACTTGTTATTAATCTTTCTTAAATGTAAGTATAGCTCACATTTATTTCAATGTTTCATATTAGAAGTGTTTTGGGTCTTTATTTAGAAATTTGGTGATCTTTTTTGTAATCAGAACTATCCTGCGGGAACTTTTTTTGGGGGGGACTTAATTCTTGTTTATATCAATCAGCCTATAGTAAACTGGTTTTGTTATGTCATTTTGCTTTAAAGTGGCAGTTAAAGTCCGACAACATCGAGGACTTACTGTACTACAATTACTTAATATCCATCACTTCGAATGGTTATAATTTCTTTCTGTGATAAGAACTTTCAAGATCTACCCTCAGCAACTATCAGACATACAATACAGCACTGTCAACTAGTCATGCTGTGCATTATATTCCCAGGACATACTTGTCTTATAACTGGAATTTTGTACCTTCTGACTACCTTTACCTAAATTCCCTTACCCACTGGTGCCGGCAACCAGCAATCTTCTGTTTCTATGAGTTTGTTTTTTTTAAAGATTCTACATATAAATAAGATCACATAGTATTTGTCTTTCTGTGTATGACTTGCTTCACTTAGCATAATTCCCTCAAGGTCCATCCATACTGTCACAAATGGCATGATTTCCTTTATTTTTATGGCTGAATGATATTCCATTGTGTGTGTGTGTATCTCATATTTTCTTTATCCATTTATCAATCAACACTTAGGTTGTTACCATGTCTTGCCTATTATAAATAATGCTGCAATGAATGTATCTCTTCAGGGTAGTAATTTTGTTTCCTTCAGATATAGACCCAGAAGGGGAATCGCTGGATCATATGGTATACTTCATTTTTAAAAACCAAATAGTTAAGAATCCTGGGGTGGATTTCTAGGGAGAAAGACAAATGAAACCCCTGAAATTACATACAAGATTTTGAATGTCTCTCTTTGGGGACGGAGTATATAGATTTTACTAATTCTCAAAGCGACTATGACCTAGAAACGCTTAAGAACTACTGCTCTAGAGCTTTGCTTCTCAAAATATGGTCCACCTGGGAGCTTGAGAGAAATGCAGAATAATGAGGTCCCACTCCAGACCCACAGAATCAAATAAAAATCTGCACTTTAACAAAATCCCCATACACCCAAAGTTAAGAGTAACACTGCTCTAAGTAGCTGGCCAAATCTGAAGGCTTGTTTTTGTTTGTTTTAAAAACAGCCCTTGAGCCAAGAATGATTTTTACATTTTTAAAGGCTTGCTTAAAAAAAAAAAAAAAAAAATTTTCTACGGAGACTGTTTGGGGCCAAAATATTTACTAGGTGGCTCTGTGCCAAAAAAAAAAAATTTTGCCAACATCTCTGCTTTACAGCACAGAGCTGACTTCTCTGACACTTGTGTGAGGGAGCTTGGCAGGTATGGATTTAAATGTCCACTGACTTCAGGCAGGCTGCTCCAATCCATTTTTCCCTGAAAGCAAAAGAAATCCACCTGGACCCATGGCCCAGGTAAATAAATGATGGCCACATTATCTGAATCAAACATTTTTTAGAGCTAGAAAGTTCCTTAAGAGTCTACTCCAATTATCTGATTCTGTAGAAGTTAATTTACTTTGTTCAGTGTCGTGCAGACTTAGAATAATCCAGGTTCTTACATCAATCGGTCATCTTTCTATTTTACAACTTTGTCTTTCCTTTTTCTCGACTCTTGGAAATGCCACTACATATACGTTACTAAATGTCACTACTGCAGGTTGACTATCAAAACTGAAACTTTTTTTCCCTTAAATAGTTACCAAGTTTAAGAAACAGGCATTTTTTTTTAATTGGATAAATTTTGAAATTGCTGGCAATATTGCTGGACGTTTACTCTTCGTTTTAGGAAATATAAAATCAATTTCTTTAGAAGCTAAAGCAAATGTGACTTTATATTAAAACTGTGCTATTTCTACCACTTACATAATCTTAAAGTAGGATTCGCTCCAGAGTATACTACAGGACAGAAGTCATCTGAGGATATTTATGTATTTGTGTTATTCGTCAACTTGGGTTACCAAGATACATGAAGTCTGTTTTAAACAATCCTGAAAACAGTGGCCTTAAGAAGTCAATAAACAATCCCCTCTACCCAGGGCATATACTGAAACCTCCAAAATTTTAACTTTAAGACTTTTATGACTATCATAAGTTTGATTCACTTTGATAATATTAGCAGATAATACAGAAAGCTTAAAAATACTGATGTTCATTTCTCATAAAATTATACCTGATTTTACTACTACTAGTTTCCATCCATCCAGAGGAATATTATCCTGGCATTAAGATAATACAAAATTACTGTTGGCTTCAAAAGATGAATACGTGGGTAACTTTCTCCATAATTTTATTACTTGCCAAATCAATTTTATGAGGCTCCTGTATTCTAGATATTTCTGAGGTTTACCTAAGCATTTGCTGTGAATGTTTATACAATGTATCCTCGGAAGGGTTTTTAAGATGGTATAACACATCTAAAATTAATTAGCTCCCTACAACTCCCCCTCAAAAAACCACCTAGTTCAGTCTTACACTTCAAAAGGTCAGCAGGACCATCTTATCAGATGTCTTCCAAAAGCTAGCAAAAAGTTTTATCACCTGAAGTTACATAATCTTGACATCCAAAGTTGCTATGAAAAAGTCTCTTTCTGCAAATATCAAAATAGGAGCTCCATACTTGCTT